AACTTTACTGCCATCTTCATCATATTAGATGTTATCATATCAATTTCATGGTAAACCATGATGAATCAGAAGTTTGCAGTTCAATTCTCTCTGTGTGTGACTTGAAGTCACTCAAAAGGTAGGCTGTTTTCAAGTCTTTCTTTGAAGTGTTGATTTTTTTAAAAAGTTCAGTGGAACAGGATGGAGGATGAAGTTGTGATACATAAGCATATTTCTATGAGGGCACCAAAATCAAATATGATGAGTTTATCTGAATTATGGAAGGGAAGGGGAACAACAGAATGGTGAGTCAAAGGGCAAGGGGGGAACCAATGCAGCAGCAATATGCACACGACAACATGTTGGAAATGATCTGTACAACTTGGAGAGGAGGGTGGGGGAGGTAGAGTAGGAGAAAAATGAGAGGAGGGGTAACAAATATGACAAAAATGTACTCACTACCTTATTTATGTAACTGTAACCTCTCTGTATATCACCTTGACAATAAAAAATGTGAAAAGAAAAAAATATTTCTATGAGGCTGGGTACAGTGGTATATCCCAGTAATCTCAGTTACTTGGAAGGGTGTCAGATTGGACCAAAAAAAAGTTAGCAAGACCCTATCTCAAAACCTAGCTGAATATGGTGGCATCCTTCTATAATCCTGTCTTCTCAAGAGACAGAGGCAGATGGATTATGGCCCCTGAGGCTGGCCCAGACAAAAGCATGAGACTCTACCTGAAAAACAACTCAAAAGCAAAAGGACTAAAGGCATGACTCAAGTGGTAGCGTGAGAAATTTTGAATTTAATCCCCAGTAGAAAGAAAAATTCATACAGTGTTAGGCAACAAGAAAGATGTTTAGCTAATGGTTAAACATCCATAACCAAGAGATGTTTAAACATCCTTTAGTCAAAGGTTGTTCCTCCTTGGACTGCCTGAAATCGTCATTCATGTTGGCAGAATGTCATTAAGTCTGCTACCTCTTCCTGGAACAGTCTCCTCCTTCCTCCATCTATCACCTCATCCCCACTCATCTTTTGTATCTCTGACTTGTCATAGTTGCTTCCTGGGCTCTTGACCAATCACCTTGTACCTCCCATGTCTGACACTCTTATGATTGTACATCAAAGACCAATCACAGTTCCTGGCAGATAGCAGAGGTCCAATAAATATTTGCCAAGTAAACAATGTGTTGGTGCATGGTACTGAGTGATTTTTTTCTCCCTGATGAATATAACTCTAGGAAATTGCAGAAGGATGCTAAACTGGCTCAGGATTCTTATGACAAGATCTGATGATGGGGATGAGGCATGGATTTGGCACATCTTGAATTTTTTCCAGTCTTCTAAATTCTAGTTTCACCTTTCATATCAGGAAGCTTCATCTTTTGGGAGAATGAGCTGCATGTTCATGGGCATTGGGAAGCACAAAGGTCATTAAGCCTGACCCTTTCTTTCTGTGTAGTCTCAGTCACAGCTCTGTGGATCCTCTAAGCTGTCTTGCTATGCCAGAATTCAGAGCTACTCTATGACTAGGGATCAAGTAGAGCTTACCACATAGCTATTCTCCTCCACATCTACAAAGTTTCCAGCTGCATACTGCCTGTCTTTCAGATGACTAGAACTACTGACCTGTGTGTTTGAGTATAAACAACTGAGCTATTCCCTGACACTTGGCACTTCTATTTGGTTATCCATCCAAAGCTATTTTAATCTGAAGAATAAATTGTGGGATATGGAATTTCTCCCTTATATAGTTTGGTGAAGAATAGATGTTCGTGGCTGGGTTCCTGTTTCCCTTTCATCTTTAAACTATGGTAGGCCCCACTTCATGAGATATAATATGAGTGCTTTACTTACAGGGAGGTTGATAGGTTTATGAACACGGAGGAGGAAACTCTTTGGTCTTAGTTCTTGATTAGTGAATGGAATGTTTGGCTTCACACACCATTACAGAAAACTTCCCACAACAGTTCTATTTTTGCCACATGTCCACATCCTATCTATGCTAAGACCAAAGTCAACTTTGCACTAAGTAAGCCTTTATACTTAGGTATTCATTAAAGCAATAGTTTTTACCTCCAGATTGTCAGAATTATTTTTTTGGAGGCGGGGGGGGGGGGGGCGTCCATCGTGGGGCTTGAACTCTGGGCCTGGGCTTTGTCCCTGAGCTCTTCAGCTCAAAGCGAACTCTCTACCACTTGAGCCACAGTGCCACTTCCAGTTTTCTGGTGTTATTTGGACTTTCCTGCCTCTGCTGGCTTTAAACTGCAATCCTCAGATCTCAGCCTCCTGAGTAGCTAGGATTATAGGTCCTATTGAATCCAAATTTAGTCAGCCTGGAATGAATCTCTGAGATTCTGAGTTTTCAGTTGAGTAACCCAAATCATTTCACTCTTTCATAATAATCTGCTCCAAAGAAGGGTTTTAGACCTAGTCAGGCAGGTCCTCTGAGAACATCTGATGAAATCTATTTATTCTATAATGAAGAGGAAAGTAGGTTTAAAAAGAGAAATAGGATAGAGAATTTCAGAGGGTTCCAAAGTGGAGGTGTGATCTTTAAGGACAATCTTTCTTACTTTCACTTGGATGTGGATGCCAGACCCTTGCTCCAAGACACCATGACTGAACAACAGTCATAGGAATCTGGCCTGATGTCTGCCTTGTACTGCTTGGAGCTTGAGCAATGAATGCATTCATGGCCAACTGTCCATCAAACTTTTCCAACAGAAAAATTCTCTACACCTGTTAGCAGTAATGTGAGGTTCAAGGGCAAGTCTTGCTAGCAGGTCTTCATTATAATGGTTTTACTTGTACTTTTGAGTCCTAAGTCCTGCTCTGCAGACAGTGCACATTTTGTTCAGTTAGTTCATGCAGAAGATAAATACAAGGAGCAGAGAAGTAAGTCATCAGGAAAATGGTGGAGAGTGGAGAACAGAAGAGATGACCAGTAAATGTCATGTAAGCTAGTGTTGAAGGATGGTTAGATCCTATAAAATGTTTCTGATGTCACAGACCCAATGGTCAAACATGTTTTGAAGGCCCTAAGCTGTGGTGCCCAGATGCAGTGACCCCAAATCTTGCTACTTGAGAATCCAAGACTGGGAATTGCAGTTCATAATTAGCTTCGGCAAAAAATAAGTTTGTGATAACCCAATCTCAACCAATGGCAGGGGAGCAATGGTATATACCCATCACCCCCAGTGATACGTGGAAGTACAAATAGGAAGGTCACAGTGCAGATTAGCCCTGGTATAGAGTATGATTCTATCAGCAGCATAAACGCATAAAGGGGCTAGAAGCATTGCCAAGTGCTATGGTGCCTGCTTTGTAAGCATAGGGCCCTCAATTCAATCCCCAGTACTGAGAATAAAATAAAAGAAGGTACTGAGCTTTGAAAGCACATAGATTCACACACACACACACACAACCATAGAAGTGGCACAGAAGCAATCCTCATTGCTTCTGTGGATGAGCACTAGGCCATGGTGGTGGTGGGGGGGGGGGGTGGTATCAGGCACACCAAAATACTACTTCCTTCTACCAGCAACCAGTTACTCTGCATATGCAGGCTACTCATCCTGATAATTAGTGTCTATTCCCCCAGGACAGCCCACAAATGCTCTTGTCTGAATAAATGAACTGTGCAGTCAGTGATTCTCTTATTAGAAGAAATGCCTCTTTTCTCATAACAATCTCTGGTTTTCTGGTATTAACTGTAGCCAAACTGTGGGAGGCCAAGTGTCCACCCATTCACTGCTGAACTAATAAAGTCTGATGTACACATATGCAATGGAATATTAGGCATCCTAGAAAAGAATAAACATTAAATCACAGGCTACAACAAAGATGACCCTGGAGAATATTATGGTAAGTGAAATAGGCCAGTCTGTTTGTAGATATAAGAACAGTGCAGTCAAATGTATAGAGCTAGAAAGTAGATTAGTACTTTTGAGGGGTTTCGAGGAAGTAAGGGATTCAATGCTATTGTTTATGAGGTGCTGAGTTTGTGTTCTCCATGATAAAAGGAATTTTGTACATGGATAGCAGTGATGGTAGCCCAATCATTCCACTCTACACACAAAAGATGGTTAAATGATCAATTTTACATTGCATATATTTTATCACAATTTAAAAAAATCACTCAGATTGGGTATGTCTCAAACGGAAAAGCACTTGCCTAGCAAGTGCAAGGCCCTGAATTCAGTCCTCAGCAACACGCACACACACACACACACGCGCACACACACACACACACACACACACAAACCTCACCAAGAAGTCAGGAAGGAATAAAGAGCAGGTATTACTCAGGACTCAGGCTGTGAGTATATCATGTCTTTATTGTCACACATCTCCTTTTGCTTAAGTTCCTACAGTTGGTCATCAGAAGAGAACTTGTCTCAAGACAGGCACAAAAATTCAGGGATTCTCTGATCCATTTTGATGGGAGTTTACAGTTTAGACAGATCAGACAGACATGCCTGAAAAGTGAAGCAACAAGGCAAGCGAGGTGGCAAAGCAGACGCCCAATGGGTGATGTAAGTTGATACAATGAATTCTAAGTCAGCACAGACTCCTGAGGGTGAGAACAGACCAAAGAAGCAGACACAAAAACAGAAGAACAGGCTCCGAGAAAAAGGTACCGAAGCATGGGCTGGATTTTAGATGCTAGAGAACAGGAGAGAAATAATCCAAGCAGACTTAGAGCAGAGCCTTGGAGGAAAGGAAGGAAGGACAGCTAAGGAATGTTCTGAGCAACACCCAAGAAACACCCTAGCGCCCAGGCTTGTCTGGCTAGAATTCAAGATGGTGCAGAAAGGAGGAGTCGCATAGGAGGCTGCGGTGATGTCTGACACGCAGGTGTGCGGAGGCTGAGAGGTATATGCAAAGGGGTTCAGGCGGAGAGCCTCTAAATATCTTTGCAGAGATGTTACCAAGCACGCTCTGGGAGCTGTGGCTGCTAGAAGAGCAATGTTTCCAGAGCAGGAGGCAGGGCCCCCATCCATCCACAGCTCCTTTAAAAATAGGCGCTCTTCACCCCAGAGAAGCCCCCGCCTTTCACCCCAGAGTAACCCCCTCCATTCACCCCAGAGTAGCTGTTGTCTTGGTCTCCACAGCCCCCAGGACCCTGGGGCTCTGGGAAGACGTCGCCAGATCCGCAGCCAGAACCGCCCTCCTGTCCCTGGTTGTAACTGTACGAGCAGGGGCCCTCGGTGTCCAGGCGACATGGATTGGACTCGCGACAGCCTAGGTCTCCTGGGTACGGCCTGGGATTCGAGCCGGAGCAGGGGCTGGGGCAGCGGACAGGCTCTCCGCCGCAGGGCTCCGAGCTCGAGCAGGGCGGCGCAGGGAGCGGGATGGGCTGGGAAGGAGAACAGGGCTCCGGGGGCTCGAAGTGCTGCGGGCACGGTCGCGGGGGCTCTGGGGGCTCGAAGTGCTGCGGGCACGGTCGCAGGGGCTCTGGGGGCTCGAAGTGCTGCGGGCACGGTCGCGGGGGCTCTGGGTTCTCGCACGGCATGGGGCGCGGCCGGGGAGCTGGGCGCGGAGCTGCACACGGCTCCGGACCCAGACTGGGCTCTGAGAATCGCCGTAGTGGGGGGCACGGGCGCGGTTCCGGGCGTGGGCAGGGCCGTGGCGCGCGCGGCGGGTATCGGGGCGCCGGCGGCTCCCGACACTGCGGAGGGGGGCAGGACCGGGGGAGCGGGCGTGGTCTGAGGTCCGGGCAGGAGGTGCCCCAGGAGGACCGCGGGGCGCAGCTCTGAGAGGAGCCTCGGAATGGGGGAATGCGCACGGGACAGCGCTGCGGAGACACCTGCCGGGGGCAGCAGGGCGAGGAGATCTCAATTCTGCACCTGGGCCCGCACCTCTGCGCGCAGGAAGGGCGGCCCCGAGGGGGGCACTGGCTGGCGTGGATGGGTTCCGAGCGGCGGGGCGGGGTGCAGTAGTTGGGGGAGCCCGACGCGCACCGCGGTGCGAGGCAACTGCCGTAGCCCGGCTCGGGGCGGCGGAGCGGCGGGGAGCAGCTGCGGTAGGGAGGCTGCAGCCTTCGCGGCGCTGGGAGGCATCGGCCGGTGCTCCGAGACCGACGCTGCCCGGTGAAGCTCCCGTAGGAGCCCTGGCTCTGGTATTGTGGTGCACAGGGGCTAAAAGAAGGTCGAGATGGACGCTGGGGTGCGCAGCTGCTGTAGGAAGGTCGCGATTGGAATTGGGGCCCGCAGCTGCTGTAGGAAGGCTGGGACTGGCGCTGGGGCTGGAATTGGGGCCCGCAGCTGCTGTAGGAAGGCTGGGACTGGCGCTGGGGCTGGAATTGGGGCCCGCAGCTGCTGTAGGAAGGCTGGGACTGGCGCTGGGGCTGGAATTGGGGCCCGCAGCTGCTGTAGGAAGGCTGGGACTGGCGCTGGGGCTGGAATTGGGGCCCGCAGCTGCTGTAGGAAGCCCGAGATGGGAACTGAGGGGTGCAGCTACCGTAGGAGCCCCCATACTGTCCCTGGCTGGAGAAGTTCCCTGGAGCCTGGCCCATGGGGGAGCATTGCACATATGCAGGGACAGCCTGCGGAACTGGAGCCGGTACGTAGGTGGTGTGCACCGGGCACTCCACGTAACGAGTTTCTGTGTAATACACAGGAGCGCATTCTACATAGCAGGTCTGAGCGGGCTGAGGGACTTCGTATTGCACGTAGGAGACGGTGGGCTGGCACGGAGCCTGGCACTGCACACAGGAGACTTGACTCTGGCAAGGGGCCTGACCCTTGACCTGGGTAGGGGTCTTAGACTTGCATGGAGCCTGGCACTTCACTTGAGTGGTTTTAGTCTTGCAGGGAGCCTGGCCTTTTCCCTGGGTGGTCTTAGACTGGCACGGAGCCTGGGAAACTTGAACTGGGCACGGTGCAGGGCATTCTAAAATTCGCACCTCACCAGGGGCTTGGACCACCACCTGGCCGTTGGCACTGGAGAATTGGGAGGGGCCAAAGGAGGAACCCTTGATGCAGCACTGAGGCATCGGCACGCAGCACTGACTCTGCTGCTGGTCACACATGGTCCTGGTGTGGGTGGGGTGAGCGGGACCTGCGGGGTGGGGAGTGGAGAGATGGAGTTCAGTGAGTTAGTCACGAGGGGTCAGAATCGAGGAGCAGGCATCTGGCGTCTTTCCTAGACACTCTTCCTCTCCTCTCAGCCTTCTCCCAAGGATCCTTGCTGACTTAGATGGGCCAAGGATTACCTGCGATTGTCCACAAGGGCCTGCGTTAGGTCTGACATCCTGAATAGCCAGCTTTAGGGATGTTTATTTAGCCTCTTTTCCTACAGGAGGGACATACCAGTGTCTACCACCAGAGAGCGCAAAACGGCCTTCCTGAGAGGGAAGCGGAGTACACAGGTTGTGTGTCCAATGCTGTAGTCTAACTTGAGAACTACAGGAGCTTGGATTTCCTCGCATAGCCATATCGACAGCACGCATGTCTGTACACATATGTGCAAATGATCACATAGGATCAAGGGCACAAGCACCGTCTATATCCACAGAACATCAAAGCTTCCACTAAAAGTAAGAGATTTGATCCATGGCTGGACAGCTCAACCCCAAGATTAAATACTTGCTCCTTTGTATTGGCTCCTTTTTTAGGCGAATTCATCTAAGCAGATCCTCCTGGGAATTACCCACAACATATGCTTAGGCAAAACACTGCCATCATGGAAAAGGATCTACATGGTGACTTGTCCCGACAGGTTGCTGTTGGTAATCGTACAGAGTGTGACAGTTTGCTGGCTTCAGAAATCTTTCCTTTCTGATCCTTCTAAGAGTCAGGAGAGGGTTAGCCCCTAAAATGTAATTCTTAATCGCAAGGCTGATATTTTAGCCACATAAGAATCTACCCGGTGGGGACATTTCAGATCCCGCCTGAGGTATCTATAAGCATTAACGATGATCTCACACGTAGCCAGGGGGGAAGCACAGCATCTGGCACACCCTGCCCTCTTCCAGTTTACCTGTTCATGTACAATGACCAGCACAGCAAGGGGCTGACTTGACAACTGGCTCAACCAACAAAGCCCTTCTCAGTAAGTTTCCAAAATATCGAACAATGCTTGGAATGAAGGTCAAAGCTATACATTTTCCATTTGGAAAGAACATCTATAAATGCACCCTTGGGAAAGACAACCTCTCTCAGATGACTCTGCTCACAAAATATAAACTGCTAATGTGTCTTTTCCAGGGAAGACAAGTCCCAATAAGGAAAAAACATCCTGGAGGAGAAGGCCAAGTTTACCAAAGACAAACATACTGACTTCCCAGCACTATTTTTTCTGATAAACTCTACAAATAGTCTTCCAATGTATCTTAAAAGCCCACCAGGATGTTTTCTTCAGGATGCTGTCCCACTCTTCCTCAGCTCCCCACTGAACTGTGCCTCACTTCCATGAATCCGGGACCCCTCGCAAACATCATACCACCCCAACCCCCAGGACTCAGCTCCCAGACTTACCCTCCTCAGCAGGCACACAGTCATTCAGGCTGAGGCATCTGGGTAGACAGCTGTCTTTATATAAAGGATTCTAGGTCTGCCTTAGGACATGAGGCAGCTAGTTGGCATCTACCTGGCTCATCACCCCAGTTAGCATTCCATTAGCTAGTGTGGTTCCCTCCCTGTGTGTCTGTCCTCGCAGTCACCTACAGACTTGGGAGTGCCTTGCCTTGGTGTCAAGGCTTCCAAACTATGAAGGAGTGGATTCTTCTTTCCTTCCTCCTTCTTCACTCTAGCAGCTTGCTCCCCATCCTAGAGGACCAGGGAATAAGGATGATGAAGAGTAGCCAAAGAACCTTCTCTCCTGAAAGATGATTCTATCCACTATCTTTCTACCTGCCTCAGATTCTCACCACATAGAGATTAAAAAGGAAAGACTTCCCAATTTAAAGCAATTAAAATTACCCCCAAGAGACAACTCTATAGAATAAAGAGTATGTGGAATAACCCTCACTCTGACATCCTAAGTTGACTCCTTACACTCATGTGGCCTTTATAACCAAGCTAGGTATTACACTATGTTCTTCAAACTGGATATAATTAAAACTCCCTTCGTGATTGTCATGAAACTCAAGGCAATTATTTTATACAAAACTATTTGAATGATAACCCAAAATACCCAACATCCATTTAGAGTAAGTGCATACCATAAGCTACAGACACAGCAGGCCCAGCGACCACCTGCTACATCCCTGTCCTGTGCTGGCTGTGCAGGAGGTGTTCCACTACTGTCACACAATAGTACTATTTTTAGGTTAATCATAATTTATTTAATCAGATACCATAGGTGTTAATATTTTTAGAGGACTCTTGTTTTATGCATGTCTCTATTAGCTCTTTGAAAAGTCAAGGGCATAATCTATAAGAACAAAGCCTGTCTATATATTTGTCTACTTGCTTGCCTATTTTTATCAAGGCATGTATGTTATTTATAGGCACACACAATGAAATATTTTATTTTATAAGAGCAGCAAACAGATAATGCTGGAGAAGTCCTTGGAGACCCCACAGTGCAGAACAGAAATTCATTGAGCCACATATGGACAAGTTGCATATCCTTGTATGTTTTGACTGCATCATAAAGACAATCATTATGTTCAATGTATGTATGTGACAATGGAACCATGTAATTTAAGGATGTGGATGGGGTTGGGAAAGATAGGGGAGAATGATGGAAGGGGTGGCACTGATCAAGAAATATAGTGCTTATAAACTGATTTATTGACTTCAAAACCCTTTGTACAAGTGCTTAGAGAGGATAATAAAAATAAGAAATAATTATTCACATTTATCCATAAAGAGCATTTTCCTTAAGACTCTAGACTTCTGGGGCTGGGAAGGTGGCTCAGTGGTAGAGCATGCATGAGGCCCTGGGTTCGATTCCTCAGCACCACATAAGCAAAAAGAACAAAAGCCAGAAGTGGCGCTGTGGCTCAAGTGGTAGAGCGCTAGCCTTGAGCTGAAGAGCTGAGGGACAGCGCCCAGGCCCAGAGTTCAGGCCCCATGACCAGACACCCCTCCCCCACCAAAAAAAGACTCTAGGCTTCTAACTCTTCTCAAATCAGAAGAGCTGTCATGAATAAAACTGTCTTCCCTCAACCTGAGTGACAGCTGCTTCCCTTGGATAGGGTAAGGGGTTTCCATTCCACAAACTCCACCATTCTTGATAGTGTTCACAATGCAATTTGAAGTGAAGATTCCTTGCATTATTCTACTTGTGTTCCTATTTATCTAATGTATTATTCTACTTGTGTTCCTATTTATCTAATGTTGTTTAAAAGAATATGACATAATCCCTCTGCCTGAGTCATTTCACTTGTCTCTGTCAATCTCTTGCTTTTGTAGACATTTAGATTCTGCCCAAGCTTGTGAACTGATAGGTCAGATTTTTAGGAAGACTTTGAGCTCTATTAGTGATTAATGGGATGAAATCTACTTAGCCACCATGGGCCTCAGATTTCTTACCTATAACATAAAAAAAGAAAGAAGGAGAAGGACAAGGGGGAAGAGGAGGAGGAGGAAGACGAGAAGGACTTAGAAAAAGGCATAGAACTCTTGTACAAATTAAATAAGGAAACTGATTTAAAACACTTAACCCTTAATTAGCCATTGAGCTCTCTGGGCTTTGGCTTCCTCATATGAAGGTGGAAGTAGCAATGTTTACTTCACCAGGAGGTTCTCATGAAGATTAAATCAGTTAATGGGCATGAAAGTGCTTAGTAGCCTACCTGCACATGCCAGTCATGTCTGTGCGGTCTCTCCCATGGCGCAGACTGCTCAGTGAGGCTCAGATCCTATCTGGATCCCTCCACTCCATCCAAAGGACTCTCCAAAATCGATGTCAGATTTGGGAGGGATCCTAGACTTTTAGAATGTCATCAAAACAAAAACCCAGCAGGACACTAGTGGCTTACACCTATAATCCTAGCTACTCAGTAGGCTGAGATCTGAGGATCATGGTTCAAAGCCAGCTAAGCAAAAGTCCCCATAAGACTGTTAACTCCAATGAACCACTCAAAAATTGCAAGTGGAGTTGTGGCTTAACGTGGTAGGGCACTAGCCTTTATCAAAAGAGCTCAGAGACAGCACCCAGGTACCAAGTCCAAACCCCATGACAGGAAAAAAATCAGAAAGTACAAGGCCTACACTCCACATTGGACGACTGTAAAGCAACAAGAAATGAACATATCCAGGAACCTAAACCCTGGAGGGTTTACATCCCAAGTAGCTCTGGTCCTAGGCCTTTTTATTATATTCTTTCTCTGATCACACATGCCTGCGGAAGTGTTCTTGAATCTAGGCAAACCCAGGAACTGATATTCACTAAGAAGCTAGTCTGAAAAGCATAGAGCAAGGAAAATTAACCAGCTGAGCTCACCCGGGTGTTAATTATTGAATCCTCTTGGCTGAATCTACCACACTCTTTTTTAATGGAAGGCATACATTTTGAAAGGAAAATATCGGTCTTTCTCCTTTTTTGCATCCCTACATCCCAGCATATTATGAGTCTGTTGAAGGATGAATGATAGATGAGTAGAAGGATGGGCATGAGGTTGGCCTTGGTTCACATGTCTTAAATCACTAGAGCATGAGTTGTTGGGCCAGGAGAACACTGTAACCCTCTTCTTCTTTTTTCCAGAGAGGAGTGGAAGTGAGGGGAGGCCTAGACGTTAAATCTTGCAGACATCAGGAGGGTTAGATGTTAGAACTGTCAACAAAATGATTTCAGAAGTGAGTCACACTCCCTTCTCTGGCTCTAGAATTCAAAATGCCATTACGGGTTGAACAACAAGAAGCTGTACTGAGATGATCTAAAGGCAGTGATACGTATGGTAGAGTCTTTATTCAGTCAAGGCTAAAAATTCTTCCAAAGGACATCCCTTCTTTAAAAGTATCTTCAAATGGTGCCTTTAGATAGTTTCAACATGGTCTTTCGTATTAGCATGTATGTCTTTAGATGATGATGATTATGGTGGTGGTGGTGGTGATGATGGTGATGATATTTTGGCTTTAT